ATGGCCACCTGCCCACCCTCAGTGGCCACCTCGGCACAGCCTGGAGACAGGAGCAGGCACTGACCCTCTGTCCAGGCCAGTTCCCACCAGTCTTCCTGTCCCCGAGCCCCAACTGGGGTATCCTGCACCCAAGGACACCTCACTCCCCGAATAATAAAAACCACAACCCGCAGAACTGCGGGCATATGCGAGTCCTCGGGTTGGGTCTGGGGTCTTTGTTCTTAGCACACCAAGGTCTCCAACACACGGGATTGTCCTAGTGGGGCCTGCTCAGCTCTGCCACAGGCTGCTCTGCTTGCAGGACCACCCCCCCCACATGCGCTCACTGTCCCCGCCCCAGAGTGCCCATCGGGCCCTTCCTGGGCCTCATGACCCCCTTGCCTGGCAAGACAGTGGAGACCTGGTATGGGGAGACCCCCAGCCCCCACTGCAGGACTGGCCCAGCTACTGCCACAGCACCCCTGGGCAGCAGGGGCACCCCAGGACCAGCTGGACTTGGATGGGGCACTCGGCTCCTGGGGCAGTCCCTCTGCCTGTCCCTGTCCTGCCAGGACTGCTGACCTTTCTCGCAGCTTTGGGTCCCCAGGTCCCTAACCCCAGCCAAGGTGTGCCCGCCAGGGACTGACACCAGGGTCCAGCCCCTCAGCAGGACACTCCGCTGTCTTGCACATGTACCCTGACCCCATGGAGGACATCTAGAGCGTCCAGTTGGTTCCCATGGGGAGAGCCCTAAGCCAGGGCCCCCAGGCAGGCAGGGTGCTGCCCAGCTCTGGCGCTGTGGGCTGTGCCTGTGTGTGGCCGCCAGCTTCCAAGGCTGGTTAGCCTCTGCCTGTGTCCTACGTGCCTGGAGGGCGGGCCAGTCCCCGGGGAGGCCTGAGTCCCTGCTGGGCTGGCGAGGGGTGGAGGCTGAGGGATGGGCTCCAGGGCGTCAGGCCCCAGGCTCGACTGCCCAGACCCTTCAAAGGACAGCGGCAGGCTCTTTATGGCTTTCCTGCTGGGAGGGGGGCCTGGCTCAGGAAGCCATTGTCCCCACACAATGGGCCCTCAGGGACCTGTGAAGGCAGGGGCCCCAGACTGGGGGGGTCCCGCTCGACCCTGGCCCTCCTCAGCCTTGACCCTAATCCGCCACTGCCACAGCTCCTCTCACGCCCCACCTCCGTGACCTGCTCCCGTCTGAGGGTGGGGCACCCCAAAGCCCAGGCGGGCCTGTGGGCAGGGAGGGTCAGTGCCCATGATGGGAGCAAACTGCCAAGGCCGAGACAGCTCGGCTGGAGTGCAGGAGCCACAGCCGTCCTGAGGTCAGAGGGAGAGGCCTTGTCCCTCTAGCCAGAGGCCGTGCCAGACAACGCGGGGCTGGTGTCCTTGGCAGTGAGGGACCTCTGCTCTGGTGGGACCAAGTAATCGCTTCCCCCACTCGAGGTCTGTGAATAACAGCATTGTCTGCAAGGTGCCCGCCTTGGTGGGGCCTGGGAAAATGTCTGCCTGGCACGGCGCGGGGGGCAGGGGTGTGTGGCCGCTGTGGCCCCTTCCCCCCACCCAGCCTCAGCAGCAAGGCGGAGCTCAGCCGGCAGCTGGGGGGCACGCCCTTCGGGCAGGAGGCCACGGGTCAGCAAGGGCCAGACGTGGACGGGGCCCCAGTGTCGGGGCTGCAGGTGGCCACGGGTCCCGGCCTAGGGAGGAGGGCACTGGGCCCCGGATTAGCACATATGCAAGGCGCCCCAGCCAGCTGGCCCGTGCGCACACCTACGCGCTCATGGAGACACAAGGTGTCACGGCTCCCCATGAAGCAAAGCGCCTGCTCTGAGGCCAGCACGGGGACCTGGCAGGAGGGAGCCCTGCAGGGGGTGGGGGAGCAGGGGGGATGGGG